CCTAATACTGTAGGCCTATAGAATACTGTGGATACATTTGTCATACATTACCATTAGCTTGTTTTCGAATTTTGTAGAATGTTGACCAATCCCGTAAACCAACATCCAGGCTTTGGCACAAACTGCATTTGCCCCAACTAATAGGCATATTTTAACAGCGCCTCCAGATTTGGTGAGATGTCCACGAAAATAGTTCAACATCCACGTACGTTGTTCAAACTCAGACATTGCCTGAAATTCATCTCTAGTTTGTTTCACTGAGATGTAAGGGAGTGTGCTGGCGCACATTGCCGAACAACAACAAACGAAAAACAGATTGTATTAGCTGAAGATGATTTCCTTTTCTACCTGTAAAAAGTAATTCGATTAAATATTGCATGTAGTGATAAAATGCTAGCTTTTATAATTTTTTAATGTTTAATAAAAATAAATTTAAATGCAAGGATGTTTTTTCTAATGGTCTCCGTGTCCGACTAACGAAGAAATCACATGTGAGAAGAGACTTTCGAGTTGCCAAAATACCAGACGTCGCCTCATAAGTGAAGACAAGCAGCCGTTTTCCCCTCAATATCTCATAATCAGTCTTTTAAATTATTTTTCCCCTTCCAATATAATGACAGACTATAATAAATATTTCATCAGCCCCTTAATCTTTGTATTTTTATTATTAATAATATTTTTATTATTTTTATTTCATACTGTACACTATTATTTAAGTAGTTAAGCATCAATGAAACCAAATTTCAGGTTTTGTAGTCATGACAATAAAGTTTATCTTATTTTATGTTAATTAAAGGGTTTAGCTTTGTGTTAAAATATTGCTGGTGTTTATTTCTTTGAAAAAGTGGTCTAGAATTCATACATATAAGATCATAAGGTAAGGTTTATTTTGTTACGACTTTAGATTTCGATGTCGATTAGAATCATAATATGCAGAATCGTTGTGTAAATTTGTATACAATTCTTAGAACTTTGGTAAGTTCAATAAATTCAGGTTGTTGACATTACAACTAAACATTTTAGCGAAGAGTGCAACGAAATCAACGCCCATGAGAAATGTAATAGCTGAGGTCTATATAATGCTGAAAAAACGTTTCCTGCAACGTTCAATGACCTGCCAGAACAATCTAATAGACTTAGTAACAAGGAGTTAGCCGGATATAACCAGTTTAAACCAATTTAAAATTCCATTTAATTTATTGTACTGAACACACATTACATAATGTGCTCTATTCTTCATAGTTGTATGTTGTGGCTAACGAACTTCTCACATAAGCCAAATCAAAACAACTAGCGTCATACGATTACCATTATCAACCACCTCCCACAAGACGTCCGAAATTTGTCAACATTTTGTGAGTTCAAGTCTGAATTTAAATCAGTCTTTTTTATTTCCAATTTTGATTAAATACAATAACTGTTTTCCCCTCTGTTTTCCACAGGCTGGCATTTATTTTTGGGGTCATTGTCTCGATTGCAACTCCTGAGCACCCGGTCGTCTGTGGCGAGCAAATGTGTTTCCAGTTCCTTTGTTCGAGCCACCTAGGCAGAGGTCCGGGAATGCGCCAGGGTGGTATGGATGGTGACCTCAAAGAGTATTTGCATATTATTTTGCCTATCTTCCCACCAATATCAGGTCTGTCATAAAAAAAATATACATAAAAATATATAAATAAATAAAATAAAATTAATTCATTAATTCAAAATAATAATGCCGAAAAAATGCTACATGTACACTCTGCAGGTGGAAAACGGCGCCGGGAGCAGCTCTACCAAGGGATGGATACGTGCGCCTAATAAGATGACATCATCATCATTCTTATTATTATTATTATTTTTATTATTATTATTATTATTATTATTATTATTATTATTATTATTATTATTATTATTATTATTATTATTATTATTATTGTTATTATTATTATTATTATTATTATTCTCAATCAATCAATCAATCAATCAATCAACGTGACATTTATTTCACCAAAGACAACAAAAAACAAAATACAATGCAATGGTGAGGGACGAGTTCAGAAGCCTAGGCTTGTCTCCGCTGTACCTTTAACAAATACAAAAACAAAACAAAATAAATAAACACAAACAAAAAAGATCATAAAATACCTATTGATAATTTTAAATAATTTCCTTTTTTAGGAGTTTACTAAAAGTCTTAAGAGTATTTGATGTTTTTAGTTTACTATCAATATTGTTCCATAAATGCGGGCCATGGACACAAATTGAGAATTGGCTTTTAGTCAGCCTAACAAACAGAATACGAAGCATGTTACATTGCCTTGTCCGATATTTATGAACATTACCTTTGTACTGAAAGGGATCCTTAAACACATTTGGTAACATTTCATAGGTATGTTTATACTGTACATAAAGCATCCTACTTGTACCTTATTAATATCATAATTATTTAAAAGATAATGTTCAGCATTGTACCTATATGGTGATGATGTAATTATACGAATAATATGTTTTGGACGTTATATAAGGTTTGAGGGATAGTCACTTCCATATATAATATTACCATACTGGAGGTAAGGAAAAATTAAGGTATTGTAAAGAGCGAATAAAATATTTGTAGGGAAAAACTGTTTGACTCTGCCAATTACTCCTATCGATTTAGAGATTTTTCTTGCAAGTCAATATGAATTTTCCAGTTAATATGTTCATTAAAAATTATAACCAAGAATTGAAGTTCTTTCCGTTGAGCTGAGCTATTGCCTTACCATTGATTTTAAGACAATTGTCAATTTCAGTGCATTTCTTCGGACTTGAACGGAAAATTACATAGTTAGTTTTGGCAATATTTAACAATAGTTTGTTAATGCTGAGCCAATCAAATACCTTTACAAGTTCATAGTTTAAATTAGTTAACAGTTGATCAAGATTATCTCCTGATAGGAAAACAGTCGTATCATTAACAGCGAAACACACAATTTTAAGTACATTACTAACCATTATTATTATTTTTATTATTATTATTATTATTATTATTATTATTATTATTATTATTATTATTATTATTATTGTTATTATTATTATTATTATTATTATTATTATTTATTATTATTATTATTATTATTATTATTATCATCATCACCATCATTTATAGTGATTGCACACACATTTACGCAAGTTGGTGGTTTATGGTTAAATGCTGTGGGTGACAAAATTCATACTGAAGCCAATACTTCAACCACTAGCACCGAAACAAAGTAGGCCTGTAACAGTGATAGTCAACATTTCCAACTACAAGAAGAGAAAACATTCCGCTTTTGCCACAGCACAATGGTCTACCAATTAAATGGCTGTACCAAATTGCACTGCCTTGTCGCATCTTTTCACTCCGAAATGTGTTGAGCTTACCTGACAGCCGAGATTCTCCGACCCTCTCTTGACTCCCGCTCTAAATATCGCTAAAATTTGTCGGCCATTTTAAACAATTTCTTCACTATGATCCCCATGCCTTCTGGACCCCTCATAAAAATACTAAAACCTAATTTGGAAATTTTATTAGAAAACCCAATACCATACAATAAATATTATCATTATAGTATTGCTATACTATACATAATCCATTCTAAAAATAAATGATATCTAAGATTTGAGAAATCATTCCGTATGCTTGATATTCATCATTGCGCCGAAAACAATAACATTATAACGTCATTATTGCAAAGCCTATGAGGTAACTATTCTGTTAATGTAGTTATTATATGGTCTGATTATACAACATTAGGATTTATGAATTCGCCTATAAATTATTGTAATTGTCATTATGAATGGCGAGGCAGATTATATTTAGCATTTTTACCAAATTCATATGTATTTGTTGAGATATAATAGCTGAAATATTTATAAGGATGATATTTATATTTGAAAATATCATCAAGATACCGGTATCATTTTTGCAATTCATGAAAAAGGGTCTAATATGAAGGAATTACGTGACACACACATGAGCAAGAATTATAAGAGATTGATGTTGATCGATCGACAATTTAATTCATACATAAATCAGTATACAATAATTACATAGAGTACTACAGTGTTACGTAGTTAATACTCCGGTGCTATTGGCGACACAAAGTGTTCAACCGACGCTATTTTCTCCACTGACAAAACCATATTTACAGGTTTAAAAACTTATTTTGCCTATACTACTTTAAAAACTTCCGATGACATTAAGTCGATTTCAAGTAAACAAAAACATGTAAAAATCTTCCGTGCCGCTGTGAATGTCAAATTTATTAAAATGTATTTGCTGAGCTTGAGAATATCCTCAGATACATTCTAAAGCGGCGACGAATTTGAGGATTACATGACGACGACGATAATGATGGTGATTACGATGAGATGATGATGATGACGATGATAATGATGATGATAATGATTATATTGATATTTCTGCTCATTGTTTTATATGTTCTTGTAATTTTACCTGCAATTTGGAATCCGGGCCAGGATACGTGGAATTCTTTTAATAAATTGAATTGAATTGAACAATGATAATAATGGGCGGAATGGTACATTCATTAAACAAAACACATAAATTTGCTAACATTTACACAGCAATCAACAGTTTTATAATATGAACATTTTATAATTACAAACAAATATACTGTAGCTTTGTGCTCTTTACAACTAGGACCTTATCTAAATAAACATTTACAAGTTTTGATGGTCTCTAACAATTTTTTGCAGAATTTATTAAACAATATATCGGCAAAAGTATAATTTTCTATTTGTACTTTACAAAATGTTTGAATTTAGGACTAAACATAAATCAGTATAAAATAATAACTTACAAAAAATGCAATAAGATTTAATATCCTTACTGATTTAAAAACTTATTTTGCCTATATCACATTGAAAACTTCCTGTCGAATATATATGTATATATATATATATATATACAGTATATATACTCTCTCTTATACACATCTATATGTGTATAAGANNAGGAGCTTGAGAATATCCTCAGATACATCCTATAAGGCGGCGAAGAAATTGAGGACGACAACGACGACGACGGCGGGGCGGCAATGAATCCGACGATGAAGATTTAATATCTTTACAGATTTTAAAACGTTCTGAAGTATTCCACAAGTGTCTTTATAATCAAGAACCTAATTATAGGTCATATGGAGTAGGCACTATTTTAAATTTAAGACTTGAACGACTTTAGGGTGTAAACGACAAATAATGGGTCTAGAGCGGTCACTCCATGAGGGCCCTGTTCCTGAAAACGAATAATATAGGGGAAAAATTTTTTTCGTGAATTTGGCTTTTGGGGCTTTTTATCCACTAAATTTAGTCGCCTCTTACTTTTACCAATAATTTTATATTCCACTACCGTACATTTTATGACGATCCATTCATTAGTTTTTCATTATCCTTAAAGGAAAGGAGGCCACTGTATAAAAGTCTTTCAAATCAAGTCGCTGCCGGAATGAAAAATACCGTTTGTATTAATTAACTAATAATTTAGATTTTTTTTTCGAATTTGTTCCGGTTGTAATACTTCCTGTATCTGGTACATGATTATCTATGCAAAACAAAACTGCAAGACCTTTTCGAAAATCTCTATGTCTTGCCCAATACATGAAAGGATTAACAATACAGCTAATAATTAAAAGCATATTGGCTATTCCAAACAGTATTAACGAGACTTTCAAAACATTAAATCTGCAAAAGAAGGTTGGTGAATATACAACAACTAGATAACTTCCTGCAATAATACTCTGTGTGAAACAAGTAAAAAGCAGTATTACTGACACAAAGCGGTGCATCTTAAAGCTATGATCCTTGCCAACGTGTTTTGTGTTGCCATTCTTCATCCAGTCTTTTTCCGCTTTCTTGAAAACACGGTGTATACGTTCGTAGAATAAAACTGTTCCGAGGGAACACAACGGCGGAGCAAATGTCAAATACGAAGCTATATATACAAGAGAAACTTCACTCCTTTCGAATAAAAAAGCAACAGATAAGCACAACAGTGGAACTGCCCAGGTGAAGACGACACTGATTATCAATCGTGGAGTGGTGACGACCTCCTGGTATCTGTAAGGGTACAAAACAATGACAGTATATCGCTCAATTCCACAAAATAGACTGGTCAAAAGAGATGTTAATAATAGAGTGTAAATAAAAACCATTGAAATGTCTGCTACAATATTAGATCCAAACCCAGCACCATCTGCAAAAATCCATTGAAGGTCGTAGATACAGCGGATGAATATTAAAATGCCCATTAACAAGAAGCATACTTCTAGATTAGTAATAAGGATATTTTTTTGTTTTCTTAGCGGCTTGTAGCTTAAGATAACAAGCAAAACTAGGCAACTTCCAGCGATGGATACGACGTTCAATGTAATGTTTATAAACGCACTTGGGCTTGCATACAACTTCAAACTGTCCCAATCTTCATCAGAAAACCTGTAACAATCATTCATTGTGCTTAATTGCTAAAAATATATTATACACTGTATCTAAGCCTTTCGAGACGTTCAAGCATACGCAGGGTCGGGGTAAGTGAATGACGAAAACCAACAAGCCTAAATAAAGTAATATTTAAGGTTCTGAAACAATAATTAGGTAGTTTTCGCCGCACAACGTTAACCTTAACTTTACGTTAGTACCCAACATGCAGCGCGATAGCTCCGCCCCTTTTGTAAACAAATCGAAATACGCATGCGCAAACCCGTAACTAACGTACGTCGAGCACGTAAAATCTTGAAATTAATGTACTCCGCAACGTAAGATGAATAAATTATGACGTAATCCGTTAACGTTAAGGTTAACGTCGTGCCGCGAAAACTGCCTATTATTCGCCGGATCGCTGTTATGTTAAAATGTGCAAAAGCTATGCAACGCAATATGCACCTAGCGATCCGTTTGCCGACTGACCCGCATAATTCATTCAAATGACAGCCTCACAGCTAATCGATTTGATGTAATATGCTGCGATGTTACTTTGGTTAATGATGTACTTACGATTTGTTGATTAGTTGAAATATTATCTACATGTTGTTTCCAGTGTCAACGCAATTTATTACCAAGTTCGACAACCGGATATTAAATATGTGGTAGGCCTATATAATAGCAAAACCTGATACAGACTGATGATACACTGTAGTGTTCAAATGTTTACTAAAGACTTGTATGGTTAATTCGGCATAAAGACGTTTTCTAGGGTTCACTGTCTTTAATATAAATAGGCCTATTTGTAATATCCAAAAGGTGTGCTTTTCTACAACCATATTTTCTTAAAGTTGCATTGTCTGCATTGGTTAAAAAAAAATTGAATTGTTTAAACCCGTATATTTAAGTAAGTTCTTAAAATACAATTAAATATTTGAAATGTCCCAGTCTGCTTGACAAAACTTTGCTTAGTTGATAATGTGAGCTGTAGTAGGCCCATTTCTAATATATTAATTGGTAGTAACAGTTATATTTTTAATGCCATTTGTTTTGTAATTGATTTAATACCCTTGCTGTATTTGAGGCTCAGTAAGTGGGATTCAAGAAAAGCCAGCAAGCCATCCCCTCCCCCATCTCTTCAAACGCTATAAAAAGGAAAATTAGGCCTATATTAAAATTTAAGTCTTTAAAGTCAGGCTCCGGAGGAAAAAAATGTTTGATATGTTGTAAAACTGATTTTTCTAAGACAGAAAAAAGTTGTTTGACGAAAAACTGGGGAACGGTGAATGAGATACAGATTTTTTAATATTTAAAAACTGGGGGAAAAAAGGGGCGTAACTGCCCATTTTTACACCTTATTCCCCAGTTTTTAAATATTATAAAATCTGTATCTCATTCATCGTTCCCCAGTTTTTCGTCAAACAACTTTTTTCTGTCTTAGAAAAATCAGTTCTACAACATATCAAAACATTTTTTTCCTCCGGAGCCTGACTAAGTGCCATTTTCGGTCATTCATCAGGGGTGTCATAATCATAAACTTTCTTACTTCAGCCCCACATGATTGGGACTAAAGTGGTCTAGGCACTCCATCTGTGAAAGTCTCTTTGGGCTCCCTTTTTTCGAATTTACGGATCCGCCTCTGCAGTTAAATGTGCTGCTAATCAATTTAAGGATTTTTGTAGAAAAACGTCTGTAAATCAGTGAAAACCCTTTTTTCGATCTAATTCTGGTTGAAAGTTATTAACCTATTTGATAATGTTAACTGAGCTATTCAAAATTTCAATTTAATTTTGAGGCAAGCTCCGATGAGGAGCTAATACCCGGCTGATTGATTAATAGATCTTTTTTGTATGGCGACCGTTTGGACCAATATAAACACCACTGCCTCTATTATACTGCCCTCATCGGAGCTTTCAAGATAGGAGACCTTGTTTTTTCAGGCCGTGTATCTTAAACCAATATTTCTTCTTAAATCATTGTAGTTGTTTGTTAAACGCATGGAGGTCAATCCGGTATGACTTATTGTTAATTATAATGGAATTTGACAACGACAACCAACAAAGCAAAATACTGTTTAATTCTTTAATTCTTTTTCAGAATTATCTTTACAGATAATTTTTGCAGAAGGTGAAAACTAAATTTATATATATGTATATATATATATATATTCCCATAAAAAAATATATATATCTAAATATAGTAAATTTTCAATTAGTAACAAACAATTCTTGAAAGAAATTTAATGAAAACAGTAAATGCAAAAACTAACTTTATGATATATAATCCTAAACCTAACTTGAAACGTTGAAATAAATGTAGATAGACCTTTCCCAGAGAAAATCATCAGAGGCAACAGCTCTCAGTTTTATTCTCAAGATATTAAAACTTCGTAGAGCACTGGAATTTTAGAGTTACATCAGCATGTCTAGAATGTTGGCAGTATCCCAATAAGGTGAGGGGGGAAAGGATACACAAAGTTTGATAGGTCAAAATAAGGTTATACTAAGCCTATATTGAGGTACAAAATTAGTAACAGCTCTCTCAATGCTTTTAAAACAAGTCTTAAAAACATTTTAAAATAAAACTAAACAACTAACAATATGATGTACCTGATTTTGAAACGTCTTTGGAAGTGGATCCAGTTTTTGCCAATATAATTTTCAGATAGCAACAGAACTATATTTGTTAATCATGGTTTCAACTACAGTATTTGTTTTTTAAAATTTGAAAAAGGAAGAAAAATTTATTGGTGTATTCACAATGGTATTCACAATGAAAACCCCAGGCAGCATGACTTGAGTTATACTTGCCACAAGTCCCTGATTTTTTTTTCTCATTCTAGACAGCACCACCAACGAGTAGGCTAATTTAGAGACAGATAAGGGACATATTATCCGACAGCGATCAGGCATGGTTTGCCCAGACCTTTATCCAAAAATAAATCGAATATGGAACACCAATTACATTTGGTATGCACTGCACTCAATAAAGAGTGCGTAAGCCAGGCAATGGTCTACAATGCTACTAAGTGTAGCATAATTAATGTGCTACAGTATCACAAACACCTGAGATGTAAGAAAAAATGAATAGCGCCCCCAATGTTTTAAAGAGGATTACATTGATAAAAAAAACATAAATGCAATGGTTTAAAGCACTGGTTCTCAAACTATTGTATTGGTCATGAAGACTGGGTCAATATTATATAAATTAGAGGGTCGCTAGACCTGCTCAAATTTTCCATGCTAAAGAAAATGTATTAGAACTGTAAGTTTCATTTTGAAATTGTTCCTTTGTACAGTATTTGAAATTGTTCCTTAGTATTGTTTACCAGTACATGACCCGGGAAGAGTGTTGTTGGACATTTTGTTTGCGTCATCGGCCAAAATTTGAGAGCTGCAAGTTTAAAGCAACCAACACTTGAGACAAATAATGAATAGCGGCCTCATTTACTAGAGACTATATGGTTTAATAATAATGCCATGTAAAAAATGAGTTGTTAATCATCCTTATTTATTTTTAAAGTTAGAAGGGAGGGAGGGTTTTTTTTTTTTTTTTTTTTTTTAAATCAGTAATGAAACCACCTTATTGATAAACATATTAATAATAGCTTCCGTACTTGATATAACATACTGTTGGAAAACATAATGGAAGACATCTTAATAAATAATACACTATATTTTGGTTTTTTTCTTATTTATGGTATTAGCAATGGGAAACACTGCTTTTTTCAGTAAAGTTCATGAGGCCATCATCCAAATGACCTACAATAACATCCACATTTACTACTTGTCTCATCCACATTCTTCACTATGGGATTCGCTCTGATGTCAAAACTTTCATACTCTGCAAAATAAAATAAAATAAATAATGATCAGTATGACATTAAATGCGGCTTGATCTTTTTCACTCTCACATAGTGAAGAATAATTTGTTTGTTATTTGTAAATATCGCTTCAAAAATATGCATGTGTTGATAGGAAAAAAAGAAAGCGTTAGTTTAATATATAAATAAGAGTGCAGAAATATAATTTATGACACATCTAATAGGGTGGATTTAAGGGAGGGGGGGCAGGGCCTACCCCCCACCCCTTTTGGAAGGTAAAAGAAGGGGGAAAAAGAAAGAGAGAAAAGAAAACATTGAACGCCAGAAATGCCTCAGAGGTTACTTTCGGGCGTCTAGGACACAAAGATTTTGTGGTGATTTCCCCCGGACCCCCTAGGCTAGTGCTATCCCGATCAGCCCCACTTTGAGCACCCCTTTTCAGGGCCCCCCCCCCTCTTTTGGACATCTCTGGATCCACCCCTGATGTAAGTGAACTTTCTGAATATTCATAATGCTAACTTGTATTTTCTCAAAATTGTTTTCTTTTGGACCATGTGCCTTAATGAATAGCCTCCTCTATGTTTGATCTTAGGATTCCCAATCATCCCCTCTCATTACTATACACCTTTATACTTTGATCTTCTGCCATTATTATTCATTATTTTCTAAAATTCTTCTAAAAGTGGGAGACCAGGAGATTTCTCTTTACCTGCTCCTTATCTCCTTTAATGCTATCTTGACTTTTTTTTTATTTAGTGTCAATACACATTAATTTTTCTTCTTAGTACCATTCAACAATTTTTTTGATCAGTATTTTAGAGGATGAATGAATAAATATATGTAATAAGAAACAATTAAAAAAAACCGACATTATCATGTAAAAAAATTTAGAAAAACCCTATGCTCATTACAGTACATGAAAAAACATGCGAGATAGTAAATTTCATAGACAGCACCCTCTATCTGCTTAATCCTTTTAATGCGATTTTAGCGTCTGCTAACAATAGGTAAAATAATAATCTAATCTATTTTTTTTCTTCTCTCCAACAAATTGTGTTTTTCATCCCTGGCACCCATCCCGCCTACCGAGGCCAACTCTGCATTTACAGTGTAGTTGGTGTAGGTTGAAATATTATGCTTTGAAATTGTGTTACTAATGAAAACATTTTTAAGATTGAATTATATTTTTTTATGATGAGATGTGGATGTAAAAAAGATACTCTGAAGTTTCACAGAGCTGATGGGACCCCTCCACCAAAGGACTTTATCTGTCAGATAAACTCCAAAATCTGATCTGCTGCCCTCAGGAGGCACCTGATCCCAAGGTTACCACTAATAGCAGATTGTTTATTCTTCAATGTTGGTAAAGTATAAGTACTGTACATATGACTATTCCCTAAGGAGTGAAGGTTTGCAGACTGTGTGAGAATAATTTTGTTATACCCAATGATGAAAGTCATAGAACGACCTTTAATATTTACAATTTTGTGCATAATAAACACCATAATCTTGCATTTGAACACTACTCAGAAATCATTTGTCATATGCAATTCTAAATATGAAAAATATGTGACCTAAGGTTAATAATAAAATAATTAACTAAACAACACGGTAATGATTCTTGAAGTTCAATCATGTATTACGTCTTTCTGCAGACTCAGATACAGGAAAAAACACATAAAGAACTATATAGTACTAAAAACAAAATGCTTAAAATTTTGCATACATCCATGGCAAAAAAAATGTTTAATAAAATAACCTCTTTCTTCTCTCACAAACCACATGTCATTGAACTCTAGCGAACATATGTGAAATCCTAGATTGAAGAATTATGTATCATGTGCTTTCTCAGCGAAGTGATGAGAGACAGTACCTGGGGATCAAACTTTTTCTGAGGGCTAAAGGTCCCTACGCTTCCCCTTACATAAGGTAGGCCTCTCTGTAGAATTTGCCATTGCCAAATCAACAGTGCACTAATGAAGATGACAATTTTCATGAATACAAGATTGAGCTGCATTTTGGGGATGGCCGTAATCCCAGAAGAATTATTAAACATGAAAACTATTTTTATAACTTCAAAAGCAAACCTTTAGTAATATATATATAATCATACTGTAAACAACTATATTTGCTTATTATTATTTGTTACCATGATAAACATGACAATATAATTATTTGTATTATGATTTGAAAGTTGTCCCACTTGAGAAGTGTGTGCACAACTATTGACTGTTTGTTCTGCTTTAAACTCTGACTTTACACTGACCTGGACAACAACTGTGTTGTGTTATCATGCTTTTTAAATGTCACTAAATGCTGCCAAGCGAATTTAGCAGTTTGCTTATGGAGACGGCAGTTTCATATCATGAAGCAACATAGAATATTGATGCTCAAATTCCACATTGCAAAAGTATTGAGTTATGTGCTAATGATGTCATTAATTTTTTCCAGAATTATCATAAAAATATGGCTATTATGGTGGTGAACAGAAAGTGTTATGTAATCAAAGAATATCAATATCATTTGTGTCCATGTAAGTCACAGACGGACATGTGTATGGCTTGTAGTCTCTTTAAGTGGAAAAAAAATTGATAAAGATGTTGTGTGAATTGTCTGATTCCCTGAAAAAAAAAAAAAAACAATATTTCATTTTCCGAAATTCCCACAAATCCACATATAAGATGTCCCCCAAGTTTGAGAAGATTTTTGGACAACCTTTTTCCTTCTTTTTATGGTCTTAACACTGCATTGAGCTGGCTAAGAATGGGGCCAGATGTAGGGCTGATCTTGCAAATAATTCCAAATTTATGTGTTCACTGAAATTTGCCGCATTTAAAATTGCGTTAATTCATACTCACAGTTAGTAGCTTCATATCAGTATTTAGTAAAATTGCATGTTTACAGTTTACACACATAAGACGAACATGATTTAAAAATAAAAAAATGTTATGTGTTGCGCATATAAGACGACCCCCTGTTTTTGTTTTTTTTTATCGTAATTTGCTATTTAAAGCCTTGAGATGAGAATATACGGTATGATAGCCTTAATGACTACATCTGTGAAGTTTAGGCCGGTGGAAGTTAAGGGACTACTGATGGATTTCACATTATAAAAGCAACATGAACATTTTCAGTTATACTTTATTCCTGTATTTAAAAATAAAATTATAGAAAAGAGAATTTATCTTACAAAAGCATCGATGTTGACTTCCACTTTGGGAGGAGGACGGAGGGGTGGGGTGGGTGTGTATAAGAGACAGGGAGTGCAAAGAGTGAGTTAACATGTGCTGTTTGTCATATACTCTACTTATTTGAATTACAATATCACATACGTGCAGAAAGCCATACTTCACTCCTTTTACATGGAGTTATCTGATCCGAACTTTACAATGGATCACGACTGATAAAATAGTACATCAAGTTTTCAGATAACTTTATACTAACACTGGCCAGCAAGTTCAGGTATATTTACAGTTATGTAAACGTCAGTGAAAGTAATATAGATTACTTAGGTTAATTGGTGAGAGTATCACACCTGGTCAGATAGCCTATTGTGTAATACTGAAATTTAATCAATTTTATCTTTTGTCCTGATGACAAATAGGTGGAGGATTAAGAATGTCGATAGAAGTAGGACCAGCTAACACCTTTTTGATTATTGAAATGGGGGTGGGGAGGGGCGTACCATCAATGGATGTGGGGAATCTGGTACTGTCTCTATCTCTTTTTCAATTCGAAGTTAATGTGGAATCAGTCCTCTTACTGTAAAACTGAACAGGCAACTACGAGCACCAACATACTGCAGAACAGATGGTATATGAACTTGTATTTTACCTATTATTATGAGGCGATTGGAATCTCAAAACCAGAATCGGTGAAAAAAAAAAAATTAATAAAAACCTTATGTGTAAATGTATTACGGCTCCTTTGTATTAAAATATTATACAATATTGCCACGCTCTAAATTAATCAGTTTAACCATGGAGTTATAAAATTAAGAAAATAATAATAAATAATTATAACTCCATGGTTTAACTGCGACAGGATGCTGGTTTTGGGATAGCGTGCCCGATCATACTCTATTTTACACATAGGCCTACTGGTATTTGCTCAATCATCTTCTTTTTCAATATTACATGGAAACTTCAGATTAAAATGCAAGATTTATGGTTCCTTTTTAATATTATTCAAGGAAAATAACTAATTATAATACTCAGTGATTATCGACGTTTGTCTTTAAAATGTGAACCTTTCCTGATTTGGAAGGGGGATGCAAACACACACACATCACATCTCCCTGGGTGAACAAAATGACTTTTTGGCTGCAATTCACCTAAAATACTTCTACATAATTATAGAAATTTCCAAAATTGTTTCATTCTATGTGACTAAATCTGTAGCTGTTTTTTTACCTACAATGAGGCTAATTATTGGGCCCCTAACAGACCTGCCAACTCACCCAATCCTGTCGGGTGTCTGTCACCCGATATTTAACAAACCTCCAGTTCTCCCAATCGAATGTAATTTTCACCCAATTTCACTGATTTTACAGGTCCTCCTCAAAATACTCAGATTTATGCATAATTTGATTGATTTGATCTTTATTATTCAATGTATTCGCCGCCTGCTCACTCTACGACGCGATAAACAAGCAGCCATTTTTTATTTGAATGCCGTCACCAACGGTCAATATGATTTGTCCTGACGTGTCTTTTTTAGAATCTTGCATGATATTTTTTGGTCAATTCTGAAAATCTCCAGATTTTTGGGTAAATCTCAAAGAGTTTTTTTTTTAAGATTTAAAAAAAAATCTCCAAATTTTTAAGAACCAGGGGTTGGCAGGTCTGCCTAATGTCAGAGTCAAGCACACCACCAAAAGTGCAAGTGACGCATCTTAGCCAAACAAAGGAAAAGCTTTTTGCACTGTTGATTGATGTAGTTAAACTACTGTATGCCGATTAACCAAAACAAAAAATGTATCGTAATTAAACATAAAGTGGGGCTTGGGTTAAGTTTGTTG